TCTCGGCGTGTGCCGAGAAAACGAGGGAGCGGCTCCGCTATCTCCGTGACCGTGAGCGAGGGTGGCTCCTATGCCCGGGTTATGGAGAGAGTAAGAGCCGCTATCGACTTGAGAGACGTGGGCATCGCGTCGTCGATGAAGTTGAGGAAATCGGCGGCCGGTGGTCTCCTTTTGGAAGTCACTGGCCCCGGGTCCAAGCTGGCGGCGGACCGTCTCGCGGATGCCATGCGGGACGTCATTTTCGCCACCGACGAGGACGAAAGGGGGGTTACGATCGGGCGGCCGAAACGTCGAGTGGAGCTCCGAATCTCTGGATTCGACGAGTCTATCGACGCCACGGTCGTCCGGTCAGAGGTCGCACTGGAGGGCCTCTGCAGTTCCGCCCACATTCGCGTGGGGGACGTGGAGTTCTCCAGGCGCGGCCTGGGGAGCGTCTGGGTGCAATGTCCCGCCGACGCGAGCCTAGCGCTTGCGAAGGCGGGGCACCTAAAATTAGGATGGGCAAAGGCGAAGGTGGAGCTTCTCAAGGGAGCTTCCCTTCGCTGTTATCGTTGCTTGGCGGTGGGCCATGTGCAGCAGCGGTGTCCTTCCGTTATGGACAGGAGCCGCTGCTGCTTTAACTACGGTAGGCACAGGCATGTGTGGCGGTCCTGTAAGGACAGGCCGCGGTGCCCGGTTTGCGAAGATAGAGGCTTGCCCTCTGCACACAGGGCAGGCGCGGCCGGTTTATGCAGGCCCGTTTAGTCGGCACGACTGAAGACGAGGCCTCTCTCCCCTCATGGGGAGTCTATGGAGAAGAGTGAGGACGGTCTGGGTGGTCCGATGTCGGACAGCGAGACCGTCCTCATGAACCCGGGTCTCTCCGGCAGTTCGCCAGAGAGCTCAGCAACGAAACGACCCAGGGCGGTGGCAAAGCCCGGTGGGCCGGTCCCCTTGGGGAACATCTCCCCGAGGGTCGTACTGGAGCCCATCCGGGTCATGGGCGAGGGCGGTCCGTCCTCGGCGGGGGGCGTGGAGACCTCCCAGCCGATGAGGACACGTTCTCACGCCGCCGCCGCTGCTGGGTCCGGCCCGAAACTGGCCAGTGAGTTGGTCGGTGGTCAGCTAGGTGGGAGCTGCTCAGGTGGCTCCCCTGGCGCGGATCACTGACTAAGGGGAACGCCTAGCAAGAGCGATCCAGCGATGGACGCAAGGGGGTTAACCACCTCCTTGCCAACGTGGGAGCAGGGTCCGGATCACCAGACGTGGCCGTTGATGCGGGAGATGAAGTAATACAGTAGTAGTCCCGTCTCCCGCATCGTTGTATGACTTGGTGTGATGGCGGGGAGGTTTTAGTCGGTAGGCGCCGAACTGAACTTCGGTTCGGGACGGCGAATCCGACACTACCCGGGGTAGTTCCCCGGGTGTCTTTTGAAGATTTCTTCCTCGAAAAAAAAAAGGGTCCTTTACATAGAAGTCGTAGATGGTCGTGGAGTCTTAAGTCGTAGAAAACCAGCCAATCACAATAAAATATAAGGAAAATACTCGATTGGAATTGGTCAGTTTCCTACGACTTCTATGTAGAGGACCCTTTAGAGTTTGCACGCTGAACGATGCTGCGCTCATACGCCTCGATTCTTCATTCGTACGCATTACGATGACCGAAACGACGCTACGCCGCATGTTTGCGTTTGATGAATGTATCGATGTAACGTTTGAACGATTAGTCCGACTCGTCGATACGATCGATGTCAAGTATACGCAATTCTCCAACATCGCGTCCGAAGACGCTATACGCGATAGCGATATTTT